CAAGTAACGTGTTGCAAATATGTAATGTGTTAATTGATACTTTACTTGACGATTAATTTAAGTATATATAAAAATCCTGATATAAAAACGCTTCACATCCAGGGAATTTGGAAATTTTCAAGTAGATATGTAGATAAGGATTACATCATCAAATAGATGAGATTAAGGGTTGAAGAAGTATGAATACATCATAAAATGCGATACGTAAGTGGATAGTTCCATACGTAGACCACATTTTAAGAAGAACAAGTCAGTGGAGAGTCAATTAGCAAAGAAAGTGTGGTAGGAATAGAGCAGTAATAGGTCTTTCTGCCCTTAATTAAAATATTTGTAGTTAAAGTAAACAAAAATCATATAGTAAGTAATGATTATGAAATACTTTACTTGGCACTATACTTGACAATTAAATTTACTTTAAAAATGATACATTTTGAAAGACGATGTAGCATTAAGTAACTTGAGAATTTTGCTATTCTTTATCCCATACATTTTGTCTTGAAGCACGTTACATCGCAAGTAAGTGTTGCAATATGTAATGTGTTAATTGATACTTTACTTGACGATTAATTGTAACTATATATAAAAAATCTTATATAAAAACGCTTCACGTCAAAAAACGATGTAACGTGCTTCAAGACAAAATGTATGGGATAAAGAATAGCAAAATTCTCAAGTTACTTATTGCTATATATCGTCTTTCAAAATGTATCAGGTAGTCGGATGACCTTTTTTTTCCTCTCTTTTTGTGGACCGTTACAAATGCTTTACAGATGTGCCGAAAATCAGATAATTGAAAATGGTTTCTAAACCCTAGATAATAAGAACAAAACGTGTACTGAAATCGACAATTGAGGAAACATTTTCCAGGAAGGTTTTTGTAATGGGTTTTACCTAACATAAATTGTTAGTTTTCTTTAAAATATGAAAACAAGAAAAGAGAATTTCTACAGACATACCAAATATTGGTTTCTTTTGAATATTTTGGTGAATTGTATGAAATTCATTGTTTACTATTTTTTTTTATGTAAATATCTTTCCTGTTGCATCGAACGTGCTTGTCTTATCTTGTATTTTACTTGGTTTGTTTAGGATTCGTCTTGTTTGTCAAGGGCCGTAAATTGGTAGATTTGTTTTATTTGCTCCAAAGAAAAACTGAATAATCGAAAAAAAATTGAAACGAATTCTTGTTTATTTTATATAAAAGTATGTTGTAATCATTTTAATTTAATATTATTGAAATTTACATTTTCAATTTTGTGCAAATTTTTATTGAATCTATTTGATGATGCAATAAAAACTACTTGTGTTTATTTTAATCTTCAAATTTGTCTTTTGTGTCAAAGAACTGCTGAAATATCAATTGAGTCGTTGTATAACTTATAATACATAAATATAGCATGAGAAAAGGTTGAGAAATGCAGCAGAAAATGTATAATACGGTATTCTATAAAATGTCTAGCCAATCCGGTGGCAATCACAAGCCCGGCAACCGAAATACTGTCAATATAATTCCCGACGGACGAAATTTCGACTGCATCGAAATCCCGACAACGATAATCCCGACTATATCAAAATCCCAACTGTATTAAAATCCCGACAACCATAATACTGACTATCAGAATCTCGACATCCATAATATCGACTATATCAAAATCCCGACTATCGAAAATTTTTACAATAACATTTTTAAATTATTCCGGAGCGTAGTGACTTTTAAATTGTTATTAATAATAAATAATAACAATTAATAATCTAATTCTATTTGAGATTATTTCATAATGTTAAGGTTTATTATGAATAATTCAACAAAATCAAATAAATTATGCTTGTCGAGATTTTGATAGTCTTGATACAGTCGGGATTCTGATACAGTCGGATTATGGTTGTCGAGCTTTTGATATAGTCAGGATTTCTAACGTCGGGATTTCAATAGACGGTCTTTCGGTTGTCGGGATTGCGATATAGACCCAACCAATCTGTAGAATATGCAGAATATTGCCTATGTATTATATAGAATGCCAACATTATAAAATTTTCCATAATTTCTATAAACAAAAAATAGTAATGAAAGTGCATTAAGATTTATTTATTTATTTGAATATGCGAAATGTAAATGTTACATGTCTACAACAAAAAAAAAAATCAGTCCTATCCGTTAAAACTAAGAGTTATAAAAGAATAAAAAGTGGAATCTTAATATCTATCACAGAGAAAACAGAAGAATAACAATCGTAATACTAAAGTCAAACGGGAATACATCGAAAGCACAATACATTGTTTTGTCCCGATTAAGTACACTTAAGAGTCCAGTAAGTATAAGTTTTCTTCTTCGAAAAGGCACTTGATACAATAATATCGTCGAGTTATTAAAATACATATGAACCTTTTTAAAACGTTGTAAACTTAGGCACATTCGAGATTCGTTTTCTATAAAATTATATTGTATATATTTATATATATATATAAATTATCATATCAGTGATTGCAATAAAAAATTCTATTATTAATTCTAATACTAATAATGTTAAGCTTACGAAATATTTGTTTTGTTTTTTTTGGTATATCAATGTTAAGAAGCGGAAGCTCACAGTGTTCACAATTTTTTTTGGCAGTTATTGTTTTCGATTCGAGTAAATGCGAATAAATATTTGTTTTTTAAATAATTCTCTAAATATAAGAATCTATATACACGCTCACTCCATTTTTCATAAGCAAATATAATAAACTAATTGAAGATTTAAGCGCGTTTTTAATTATTTTTTATAAAAATCTTCTTGGGAAGAACAAATTCCTTAACTTTTTCCTGCGTACGTGGGGTTCTTGAACGTGGACGTGGCTTGTTTGTAAATCGGATTTTCGCCCTGAAAATAAATCAAGAGATGAAAAATTAATTATTGATTGATTGATAGTTTGAATTTTTGATGTAATTACAGTGTCCCATTTGGCCATCATGCGTTCCTTCTCGAACTTGGCGAACTCCCGACGATCGTGTATCGTTGTCAACAGTTTCCATAGTAATAGGATAGCTAAACCTATGAAGACGATCGCTGCTATGACGCCTAGTACTATGCCAACAAGGAAAACCTAAAATTGATGTTGATTTTTGATTGTTTGCGTGTGATTTGTTTTATTCACCTTAGCTGGGCATTCGCGATCCTGCTGCGCTTTAACGACAACCTTATTGAATTCATCGAAGTAGTAAACGTACGCGAATCTGCAATCGTCGTCATCGTAAAACGCGCACAAATTCTCGTCGTTCTCCTCTTTGGCTTCGACCTGTTCCACGCCGATCGGAGTGAATTTGGTGCAGTTCTTCGCGCAAACGTTTTCATCGAATGGACCCGTCTTGTACATTTGGCATTGAACGCAATGCTTGAATTCCTCACACCGATCGGAGCACGTCTACAAAAAAAGAAACAAAACATTTGTTAATAGGTTCTGATCAAAATATCGACACAGACAATAATATCAAATTTCTTCATTGTCAGTATTTCGATATACTCTTGGTGAATGAATATACTTACAGGACATTTTTCGCAATATTTCCCTGAATACCTTCCCTCTTCAGTATTCTCGCATTTGCAGACACCGCACTTGCAATCGCCGTGACCAGAACAGATTTCACCATCGGCAAGTCCTGGCGCTTTGCAAGTCTCATTCGACATCCTACAATCGCACGCCGCTCCGCCCCAAGGTTCTTTGCAAACGCAAGAGCCGCAATCGCAGGAGCCATGAGTCGGACCGCTGCAAATTTTACCTTCGTGTCTGTCGCACGAAAAGTTGTCGCATTCACAAAAATTCCCATAAACTTTCTACAAAAGAAAAACAACAAATTCAATAAAATGATATTAACATTAACAAATTTACAAACCTCATCTTCGTTATTCCTGGAATTACATTCGCACCGCCCGCAAACGCAGCTTCCACGACCGGAACAATCCAAACTACTCGTGTTATCCGCGCGACATCCTAAAGTATTGTTGAAGAAATCCACTTCGCTAGCGGAGCACTCGCAGTATCTACCGAAATGCGAGCTGTCGCATTCGCAGATTCCGCACTTGTAATCTCCGTACATGTTGCAGACATCAGCAGATTTTTGGAATGCCTACAATAATTACAGTTTAATAATAATATAATATAATTGTTAAATTTAACACTTACAATGTGTCCGGGCTGTTCGCAAGGACACGAACAAAGCATCTCCAAATCCACCACCAAACTTTCGTTAATTCCAACAGGGTAAATCTGTAACGTCTGCTTCCAATCCTTGGGATCTTTCGGACATGCGGTCACTTCGATCTCAATCTTAAACTCAACAACATCCCCAACCTTGATGTTTCCGCATTTGTTCGTTTTCTTATCGCTTCCGGATCCGTTCAAACACCTCGAGTAATAATTGATCTTGATCGCGTTCGTCGCGTTATCTTTCAACTCAACCAGAGAAGAAATTTGCTATACAAATAATGTATTTAATATTATTTAATTCAATTATAATGATTGAAATTACCTGGTATTGATCTTTAACTAAATCAACGATGTTAGATGAATCATTGGATAATTGACCGCTGGAAGCTCCTTCGATGTGTTCCTTCAATTTATTGTAAACGGAAATCTGCTCTTCGGTTACAGCGAAAATCACATTGATCGCATTCTGCTTCACCTTCAAATTGATCTGCGAGATACTCGGATAATCTTGGAGAGAGGAGTGCGTGTATAGACCTTTCTCTAAATGGCAAAGACCGTCGTTGGGTTTAACAATTCCTCCAAGCTACAAACGATAAGTAACAAATAAATTTCCAACTTTAAGAAGAATTAATCTTAACATACTTTGCCATCTCCTGCGTAATGAAAACCAGCATCAGTTGAGAAGACGAGCAATCTTCGGGCCTTCTCGCGCCAACCGATTTGATCTCTGCAAACCACAGCTTGCATGATAGCATCGAAACCGCCCTCAGGAGCATCCAAATTTCCAGAAACTGCAGCTGCCTTCACCATAGTCTATATAATAACAAAACAAAACATTAACAAATTACTCCTTCAATGGAATCAATGAAAAACCCATTGATCAAAGTCGTTAAAAGCAATGAAATAAAAACAGTTATTAGCGTAATGCGTTTTTAATTGTGATAATATTTGGTTTATGAATATGTTTTTAGCTTTAGATGTCTTCCTCCAATGAGTATTGTAAAAAGCATTTGCTTGAGAAACTATGAATGGACGAGTAATAAGTTCGTTGTTGTTGTTTATAAATTAATAGCGTCATGCAACAAACACCCCGTTGTTAAATCGTGAATGTGTTGTTTTCTTTCTTTCTGACTTACTGAGGTGTCATTTTCTCCATTTCTCACAATTATCTTAAATCCTCCGGGCTGGTTTCACAACTATAACTCATGCAACAGAAGACTCTCAATTGCCGGACAATTATTTACACGGGCAATTGCTTCGAAACTATCTATATACGAAGAGTAGTAACAAGGTCACAAACAGAGGGGTATCGCATTTCTTTACGGGTCGTAAAGATCGTCCAAGAAATGAAGGTTTATAATAAGGTGGCTGACATTTGCATAAGACTCACCGAAAACCTTGAAGTGTCCGTATCCAGAGTCATGTGGTTCTTGAACCCGTACGGCGGTTCGCAGTCTTGGCAAGGCGCCTTCAATCTACAAGAACAATTGTCGTGTTAATTAAGAATTTAAAGAAATTAACATATTTTGGTTAATATACTTTTTCGGTACTGTGCTAACATATGGCATGACGACTTTATCGACGAAGCTACCGAAACCTAATCTAAAATTAGAGGTAATATTCTTCATGGAATCCGCCAACAGATTTCCTAGTAAAGACAATTTGCCTTTGTCGTCCTCCATGGATTTGGAGAGGTCCATGAGGTAGTACAGATCGACCGGGTAATCTTCGGCTTGAGTGTAGAATAAGGAAAACCTCAATGATTGTCCTGAAATTCAAAATCAATTAAACGATTTTACATAAAATTATTTATCAAACATACTCGCTCTTAGTTTCAAATTAACTCGCTGCGGAGAGACTTGTATGATATTAGATTCTCCGCTCGAAGAAGCAGATGAACCATCTCCCAAATTAGCTTTGAAGCTACCGCCCGCATTCACAGTGGACAACGGTTTATTCATCACGATTCGCTTCTGATTATCCGGATTGATCACGTACTTTTCCGGGCAAGTCATGGATCCGGGATTCGACGGTTGGAAACATCTTGTTCTCTCACCAAAATCCTACAAGAAAACAATTAAAAAAAGAACAATTTTGTTAGTGAAAATAAAGTGTTTAATTCCTTAAACGAATTTCCAAGAAAACGTTCATTGAATTGCTAAACAGTAGCTTACTTGTTTGTAGCACCAGGCACAGGATGGAGTCTGTATACATTCATGACAGGATGTCTTCGATATGCACGGATTCTGCACCAATTTTTCGGCGACTTGAGAAAACGCTCCGTTAATTGAAAGCAGCGCAAGCAGAAGAAATCTCGCACCAGCCATTCTGAAATTGAATAAACATCTGTTATAATAATTATAATAGTTGTTGCATTGGATGCTGCAGCAAAAAAACGCGTTTCACATGCTTATCTGTATTTGTACATTGCAAATAGTTTCCAAGAAGTGAGATATAAAAGCATTGAACTGTAATGTGACCATTAGGTCAATGCATTGCAGCCGATTGACAAGTTTTTTCTACTCTCTCACTTATTGCTTCCCCATTCCTGGCCTTGCTGTTCATCATCATTAACTTGTCCATTCAACCTGACCAACTTCCTATTACAGCGCAAGTGAATCCTTGATAGCCACAGCAAGTCTGCACTGAATACAGAGTGTTTGATTACATTGATGATAATGCATCAAAAGAGGAAAGAGTTGTTTATAAATATTTATGAATATGAGTATACATATTGATTTTAAATTGTAGGGGACTGCTCTGCAGAAGGAGGCAGATGTTCTATTAAGTGGAAGTTATTTTAAGAGTTTGCCTTCATTAAAATATTTGTGTTATCTGCAGTATTTACATATTGTTACAGATAACGAGTGTAGCGTTTTTTCATATTTTGTTAACGTTAGCTCAAATAATAAAATGTTTCGTAAACGAATTTAATGAGACATGAAGATTTGTTTATTCTTTTCTCCATTAAAGCAAATAGATTTAAATCCCCTAAACATGAATGAGCACTGCTTATTGATTCTTTCAGCTAAACTACGAGTTACGATATGTTGTGTTTACCTGTATCTATTGACTTGTTTGCACAAGTAATCTCTTGGTCAATTCCTTATCTTCTAGATACACTCATATGAAACAACTGAAGATAATCACTGCACATAACGCACACCAACTTCCTGCTCATCCGCTGCTCTTGTGTTTGGTTTATGCTGGTTGTTGGGTTTAGTCTGCCGACTTACCACGACCCTTCCACTCTAAACTAATACAAAGGCGACATCTCTTGCAAGACCTCAACAACTACAGGAAGAATTCCTTAATTATCTAAAAATTTAAATCTACAAACAGGCCTCGCAGCTACCCTTAAATACTGTTCTTGTTTATAATCGCATTGAAAAGACAACAAAAAACATAGTGTACTCATTGTTCAATACTTCTCAAGACAATAGCTTGAGCAAATTAAACATGTTTATTATGTAGAATAAGCTTGGTTCATTTAAATATAATGCAGAGTAGTTTGCAAAGGTTGATTTATTAAAATATTCTTCTATCTTCAAAAGACAACACCTTTCCGTTATTTATGCCACGAAACAATGCAGTCATTACAGAGAGTGACTATGCAAATTAAAGCTGAAGCTATAGAGAATTAAATGAGACTTGCTAATGTTATATTACCATACGTTTCTTTTGAGATGGAATGAACGCATTTTTAGCTTTTAATTGAATCAGCTTGTACTGTTTTTGGTTGAAAATAGAATAATTAAAGCCACATATAAGATTTCATTATAATTTTATTCATATGTATAATACAGAGTCAATAAATATATATATTTTTTTTTGTTTAATCAACTTTGATATTCGCTTATGAACTAGGAGAAAAAACAAACAAACTGGAATCGTTTCTGCCAGTGAAAATCCGAGGGCGGACGTGAAACGGCATTGATAAGAGTCTTCTCATTCGCTAGATAATAATTAGGTATGTACAAAATGGAAAGCAATTTAAATATTTTTTTTTTGTATATTAGAAAGCCGTCCTTTCAGTAACTGCTGCTGCTGCTCGTCTTTCCAAGATCCATGTTCGTGTAATATTGAGGATTCTCGTTAGTCGGTGTTTGCGCCCTCTTCGTCATAAGCTTCACCGGAGTCTCGTATCCTTGAGTCAAATCCTTCGCGGGGCTCAGCTGATTCGTGCCGTTATTATTCAACTTAGGCTCATCCAACAGCTTACTGGAATCCCCGCACTTCTCCGGCTCCTGGTTGCTCTCCAAGTTCTCCTCGAAGAGCTCCTCTTTGACGATGATGTTCTGATTATCGTTCTCATCTTGAAACGTAATTTTAGTTATATTGCGTTTAACAACCACGTTAAATTTAACTACATTTACCTTGAGCTTCGATAGTGCAAAAGTAGCTTCTATTGTGGATAGCGTTCGGTGTTAAATCTAAATACTCCATTTGATCTCCCAGCATCTCTTCCCATTTTTGCGAGAGCTGCTGGAAGCTTGGCCGATGATCCGGATCGATATCCCAGCAGCTTGTCATTATCTTATAACTACAAATTAAAGATGTTTTAATCAATTTATTGATTGAACAATATTATTCAAATGGTATTTACAGAGTTGGTGAGCAGTTTTCCGGTCGTTCCATTCGATACCCGGATTTTAGCAGGTGAAAGAGGTTCTGGACTTGTATGCCTGGATACGGTGTGGCTCCTAAAGTGATCAATTCCCATATCACAATGCCGAAGCTCCAGACGTCCGATTTGGTGGTATATAAATGATCCGAAAGCGATTCCGGTGCCATCCATTTCACTGGAACTGCAATAGAAATAGGATCAGGATTAATTCGTTTCGCATATATTCATCGGGCGAAGAAAGAGAAGTTTTAAACGCGGCGATAATAGATTGCTTTTAGTTTCGCGTGAAGTTTTTTTTCTTCTGTTGTAACAGCTCGCAACAAAAGGCTATTAATTATATTCAGAGAGAAGCTATTATTCTCGCATTTAGATGCGGTTTCTTCAGAAGCTTTACTTTTAAAATTTATTAATATACCTCGGCCCTTGCTCCGCTTGAAGTAAGTGTCGTCCTCGTAGATGTCTCTGGTTAATCCGAAGTCGGAGATTTTGCAGATCTTGTCGGAGGTGAGGAGGACGTTGCGAGCGGCCAAATCCCTATGGACGAGCTGAAAGAACACAGTATAATAAAAGTCTAAACATAGGAAACTTTTCAAGGAATTTTCTAGTGAACCAAAAGTAGAAAGTTCAAAAATCTCGAAAGTTAATTAGATCATTCAATATGTAAAGTAAAGATAAATCTATGATCATTCCAATTAGATCATGCTATTTATTCATCTATTGTCAGATTGGAGTAATAAAATGATGTAATCATAAATATTGATGATTAGGTTTCGTTCAAGATATATAAGAGTGTTGAAAAGTAAGTTTGAAAAGTGTGTGTTGTTACCTTAACATCGCTGAGATAAGCCATTCCATTAGAGATTTGCCATGCGAATGAGAGTATATCCTTCGGTGTAACTTTGCACTCTTTCGGCTCGTCGTAATTCTCGTGTCTTTTGGCCCCATCCAATCTAGCCGACGTCGGTAATTGGCTTTCGGATTTAACGTGCCTGCTTCGCCTCAGGTAGCTCCTGCAAAAGTTGAGCGTGTTAGTTCAAGGATTGAATTACAGACCGGAGAAGGATCTTCGTACCTCAGAGAACCGTACTGCGCGAATTCGATGATCAAATAGACCGGACCTCCGGGTACAGTCGAAACGCCGAGCAGCTTGATGATGTTTGGATGTGAGACTTCTTTAAGAAGTTGGTACTCTGACAATAAATCAGAAAGTTCTGCCTCTCGGGCGTCCTCTTTCAGTGTCTTAACGGCGACGATCGAGTATCCTGTTGTACAAATTAATTGCAGATTTAGTTTCGCGGTCTACAAATACTGAAGATTTTGTTTTTCATTACGTGCCTAATTGTCCGCTGATGTCTTTGGCCTTCGCCCTAAGCACCCTACCGAACTCCCCTTCGCCTAGAGTCTGCTCGATGATTAGTTGGCTCCGTGGAAATTCCCACTTAGGATCCGGCTGCAACGCAAAACTCAGCTTACAAGACGCAAACTAACGACCCACTTAATTATCAGACCCAATTAGCAGTGGAAAGATAACTTTTTCTTTGGGCGAAATTAAAGAAACGAGTAAATCACCTGCATTTTCATCTGGCCTTGCTGCTGAGTGAGCGACGTGGTCATGTCAAAGTTCAAGGACAAAGTATTTTCAGGCAGGATACCTCTATCAACGTAATCGGAAAGAGGAGCAGACAGATCGGCGTTCTCCTCGGTGAACTTTCCTCTGACTTTGTGAACTCTATCGAAACGCCAGCAGATCACGATCGTAGCTATAGCTCCCAACAGAAATAATCCTCCGGCTAATATACCCAGCAGACAACTCTTACCGCAAGCCGCTTTCTCGAGACCTCAAAGTTACAAAACCACAAAAATATTTTAAAGAATTTACAAGAGTGTATATAAAGCTCACCTCTATGTCTACTCAAATTGGGAGCAGCCGAACTGATCGGCGCCAAAGTGATGTTCAAGAAGTTCACCGTCGACTCAGTCTTCTTCGAATTCTTCTTATTGTCCTTCCTCGCCTTAACTTTCAACTCGCACACGCAACTCGACGTATTGTCGCAAATGCAAACGCCACGCGCTGTTTTTATACCTCGCCCAGTCTCGTCGTTCTTCATAGTCGGAAATTGGATGTGCTCTAAATCAATCAAACAATCAAACAATAGAATTCATCAATTAATTCAGGACTAACCGGAACAATCTTGTGGACAAATCAGACGGTTCAATCTCTCCAAAGAGTCACAGACTCCGTCCGGACAAGTTTCTGAGTCTGGTGTGCACGTGGAGTACAGTTTCGTGGAATGACGCAGTTCCGGTTTCCGGTCACCGCGCCACATACATCTGCGCCACTTTTCACCTTTTTTTCTGAAAAAAAAATAATAATAATAAATGAAACAAAACAATTTCTTATTACAATTTCCTTCAGTTCATGGTTTATTAATCGAATTTCCTCGACCACAGAAAACACTCATTTTACACCGTCTATAAATTTTACTTTAACACGCAAGCATCTTTCTTCTTGAAGCTAATCAAAAATTTAACCGCAATACAATACATTTATTTTAACAAAGAAAACTTTCAGAAAATTCACAAAAGTCAAAGTAAAATCTGTTTCAAAACTACACAATAAGTTATAAAAATATTCATATAAGTCTCTTTTTAGTCTTTATAATATATTTATTTTTTGTATGTATAAAATTATTGCTACAAGTATAAAATTACATAAAACTGTATAGATAAAAACCATAAGAAATTAGTATTTGTTAATAAATGAATACATAAACTATAGAGTTTATATTCAAGCAAATGCACAACTAACATTTGTATCAACGTGTATTTATCATTGTCAGAACTGTGGGTTTGCAATTACACAATGTGTTTCCTGTTTTGGAAAATATTATTGTTATATCTGTTGTCTGATTGCAGCACGGAAACTTAATTAATTAATTTGTATTTTAATAAATGTTCGTTTGTTCTCTACGTATTCCAGGTTGCGGCTTTTGATGCCATTTCGCAAAATACACTAATAATGTCGCAACTTTTTAATTAATTATAGAAATTTTCCAAAAAAAAATATATCTGTAAAATATATTAGGACAAAATAAAATGTTGATAAACAAATTGATAACATATTGAGATTCAAAGTTTTAACTCCTAAGTACTATGGATGGGTCAGAATGACCTAATCGAAAAGAAATAGTGTTTTTTTTTAATTCAAGAAAACAACAACATTTTGCGACAAATGCAAGAGACAAAACTTGTTCTACTTGCTTAGAAAAAGATTGTTCAGACTGTATTGAGCAATAACATATTGAGATTTAAAGTTTTAAATCGTAAGCACTATGGATGGGTCAGAGTGACCTAATCGAGAAGAAAGAGTGTTTTTTTTTATTCAAGAAAACAAGAACGTTTTGTGACAAATGCAAGAGACAAAACTTGTTCTACTTGCTTAGAAAAAGATTGTCCAGACTGTATTGAGCAATAACATATTGAAATTTAAAGTTTTAACTCGTAAGTACTATGGATGGGTCAGAGTGACCTAATCGTAAAGAAAGAGTGTTTTTTTTATTCAAGAAAACAAAAACGTTTTGTGACAAATGCAAGAATCAAAACTTGTTTTACTTGCTAAGAAAAAGATTGTCCAGACTGTATTGAGCAATAACATATTGAGATTTAAAGTTTTAACTCGTAAGTACTATGGATAGGTCAGAGTGATCTAATCGAAAAGAAATAGTGTTTATTTTTAATTCAAGAAAACAAAAACGTTTTGTGACAAATGCAAGAGACAAAACTTGTTCTACTTGCTTAGAATAAGATTGTCCTGACTGTATTGATTAATAACATATTGAGATTTAAAATTTTTACTCGTAAGTACTATGGATGGGTCAGAATGACCTAATCGAGAAGAAAGAGTGTTTTTTTTATTCAAGAAAACAACAACGTTTTGTGACAAATGCAAGAGACAAAACTTGTTCTACTTGCTTAGAAAAAGATTGTTCAGACTGTATTGAGCAATAACATATTGAGATTTCAAGTTTTAACTCGTAAGTACTATGGATGGGTCAGAGTGACCTAATCAAATAGAAAGAGTGTTTTTTTTATTCAAGCAAGAGCGACAAGAAAACAACAACCGTTTGTGACAAATGCAAGAGACAAAACTTGTTCTACTTGCTTAGAATAAGATTGTCCAGACTGTATTGATTAATAACATATTGAGATTTAAAGTTTTTACTCGTAAGTACTATGGTTGGGTCAGAGTGACCTAATCGAGAAGAAATAGTGTTTTTTTTATTCAAGAAAACAACAACGTTTTGTGACAATTGCAAGAGACAAAACTTGTTCTACTTACTTAGAATAAGATTTTCCAGACTGTATTGAGCAATAACATATTGAGATTTAAAGTTTTTACTCGTAAGTACTATGGTTGGGTCAGAGTGACCTAATCGAGAAGAAATAGTATTTTTTTAATTCAAGAAAACAACAACGTTTTGTGACAAATGCAAGAGACAAGATTTGTTTTACTTCCTTAGAAAAAGATTGTCCAGACTGTATTGAGCAATAAAATCATGAAAATGATGTTAAATTCATTAAATGGTAAGAATTAATCTGTATTTATTGTAAAAATCAATAATTTTTTCTATTTTTGGAATATTTAATAAACGGGTCATTTTGACCCATAGGTAGTACTAGTGATTTTTTTTCTTTTGTCCATAGTAGTTAGGTTATTAGCACATTTTGCACTTATTCACTTCTAAAAATTATAAAAATATGGCATAAAACTTTAATGTTTTGAATGAAAAACTTTCATAAATAAATGAAAAACTAAAATCGAGAATAAAAGTATTATATAGCAATTTCCAAGTAAAATATAAATGCTAACAATTAACTCAGACATAAAAATAGTCTTTAGTTGTAAAAAAAATGATATATGAATTAATATGAAATTGCGATATAAAATTTTATATCAGATGAAAATAATAGGAAATTTCGATGTAAAACTTCATTCAATATTCTGCATTAATTTCAGCGGTGTTGAATATTCACAGCGAAATAAATATTAAAGTCTGCTATTATTTTAAATGAAAAACTTAGTTTTTTCGTATACAAATATTTGATAAATTAATTAAAATGAAATTCCGATATAAAACTTTATTCTGTACTCTGCATAGACGTTAAATATTCACCACGAAATAAATATTAAAGTCGAACATTAAAAAGGGATTTTCATGTAAATTATGAATTAAAAACGATAATAAAAAAGTAATATTATATAATCGAATCTTGTTCAAAGTCAAACTGTTATAAATCATGGAATTTGCAAATGAGAGTGAAGTAATATTTGCCCGATCGATTTTGTAATAAAAACAAACCTGTCAAACATAAAATTAGAAGTTTTGCAGTTAAACTGAAATCTGTGCGTTTTTTTTATTGTCGCATTAAAATTTTATTTCAATCAAACTGATTATTCATTACCATTAAATTATGTGTAGACAATAGATCTTTGTATGTTATTATACAACAAATTTTGTTTATTATTATGTGTAAAACTAATAAGAAAAGAACATTTTGGATATAATTTTTGTGTATTGTTTGCTGAACTAAAATTTTATTTATATACTCTTAATTACAGCAACATGGAGTAATTAAGAGACTCTTCATCTTTCCTCCCCGTTAAATTTCCATGTTGAAACTTCATAATGTTCGCAGGTAAACAGGTGTGATAATTTTTTCGAAGAGGTGCGGGATGAGAGAATTTCCACGAAAGTTTCGCTTCGTGGAATTACAACAATTTTGCAAACTGGATGGAAAACATTCGGAAAATCTGGATGTTTTTCTTTTTACTTGGGATTCCAACGTATTTGATAAAACAATTTTAATTAATATTGCATTAAAATTGGAAAATTGAGCAAAAATTAGTTTATTTAGTTCGTAAAATTAGGCAGTTTTTACTTGTAATTTCAACCCATATATTTCAATAAATCAATATTTAGATACGAAGAAAATTATCTTGATATTAAATTATGTAGAGATTTTGAAAGATGTTTCTGTATTTTTTAAATGAAGTAATAGAATTGCAATGTTTGGATAGCCGGAAAATTGTGTAGTTTTCAGAGAAAAACCCTTTTAGCTCCGTTGATTTTACCTCATTTCCCTTAAGGATTTTGAGACATGACCTGATACATCTTCTTGTCTCCAAACGTTTGGAGCCAAGAGAGGAGCAAACATCGGTGAACTAATTTAATAAAACCCTCACGAAATCGTCCCTGCAATAACTTTTATTACGTTTTTCCCTTCATTTTACGATGACAAGAAAAGGAAACTGAGGTGAATAATGACCAAACGTAATAATAAAAAAAAAGAGAACATCTCAATCCATATAATGTAAAGGTTGGTTAAAGTTGTGAAAACAAAGAAAAACATAACTTGTGTTAATTAAAATAAATAAAATATTGGTTTTGCAAAAGCGTTTTGGGAATTTGAAAGCGATTAAAGGGAGAGTTGAAAAAGGTCGTGTCTCTGGGTATTTCCGGACGGTGTGCGAAGCCGGAAACGGAAACAAGAAAGAGAGGGAGGGAGGTAAATAAAAGGAGGACAGACGTTCGGTCCGCTGGGCGTGAAAGCCATTTAAGGAAATAACTTTGCGTCTCTGTTGTTAAATAATCAAAATGGAAGAAGTTCTCTGAACTTGCACAAATCAATTCCGCTGTGAGGTTTTTACGGAAAATAAAAGTCACGGTTCAAAGAACAAAACTATAAAAAATACACCTTGAGTTCCTTTATTTCTGTAAACGATTTTGTAACTACATGTATTTAATTATCGAGAAATACTATAATAGATTAAAAAAGTTCTATTTTTAATATTATTTAAATTTTGAATAATAATTTGTTTATAAAATTTTACAACCATTTTTAATTTTTCAGTAAACTATAAAAGTTTATTAGAAATTTTATAATTGTAACAGAAAGAGTCTTAAATTTCACATCTTTTGATATAATAACAGTTACGTAATATTAATTAATGACGATTATGACGATTTTACTACTTTTTTTCAAGTATTCGCATTTTACTTAATTACTCGATAACTGTGGATGCTAACTATCTAGCTAAAGAAGTAAATTAAAGATGAAATTATGAGCTTTCCTATGTGCCTATTATAATATTTGAAATTATTGAATTCCTTCTGTTATTTATATTTTATTTACAAATTTTATATTAGTTGACTTGTGTTTGTTGCCCTTAGGGCCAATATTGCGAGAAAGTCATGTTCGTTAGATTAATATTTATCCCTATAGAATAATTCAAGATATTTTATAAACCTTGCATGTCTGCATCATCCTCTTGGGATTTTGGGAATTTGTTATTT